AGCATTAATTAAGTATTGCTTCAGTTGGTTAAATGCATCATCCTGGTCCTTCTTCCATTCATACTTGATGTTCTTGCGCAACAAGAAGTGAAGAGGGCGAGCAATTGCGGCGAACTTAGGTATGAATTACCGATAGTACGATGCCAATCCCAGGAAACCTCGCAACTCACGAAGGGACTGTGGTACAGTGAAATTCTGGACTTTTTCAACTTTACCTTCATCAGGGCGAATGCCCTCTCGACCAACGATGTGACCCAAAAATTGCAAATAGGGCCTAAAAAAGAAACACTTATCCGGATTTAATTTTAAACCTACATTTTGTAGCTTATTGAAAACAGTATTAAGGTGGTTAGTATGCTTCTCGAACAACGTTGAATAAATGATGATGTCGTCAAGATATACGACAACGAATTGGTCCAAAAACTCTACCAGCACTTGGTTCATCATTCGCTGAAATGTGGCGGGGGGTTCGTAAGCCCAAACGGCATTACCACAAACTAAAGGTACCAAAATTTGTCACGAATGTGGTTTTTTCTCTATCTTCTTCACTTACGGGAACCTGCCAATAGCCAGACATTAGGTCTAGTGTTGAAAACCAAATTGCAGACCCAAAAACTTCCAATAGGTCGTCAACACGGGGCAGGGGGAACGCATCCTTTTTCGTAACCGCATTGAGCTTCCGATAGTCAATGCATAAGTGCAATTTTCCTCACTTTTTCGGTACAACGACCACAGGGGACGTCTACGGGCTTGTGCTTTCTTTTACTAATCCCTTTTCTTTAAGCTTTTCTATCTCTTCCTTTATAAAACTGCGTACACTGGGGGCAGCACGATAGGGGTGTTGTTTAATTAGCGTTGGCTCCCAGTATCAATTTCGTGTACTGTTAGGGTTGTCTGACCCAGATCGTTCGTATCGCGGGCAAACACATTTTTTTTATCATTTAAGAAGGTTTGAGCCTTTTGGACTTGTTTCAGGGTTAGGTGGGTTGTACATACGCTTTTTTCAACCTCACTTCTAAGGACTCATCATCAAGGTCAGGTTCGTTGGTCGGTATTTCTTCCATGTGTGACAAGTATACTGCAGGACTATGGTGATCCTTCCATGGGTTATCAAAAAGTTCATTATCCGATACTTCACTGGTGAAATATCCTTCAGCTTCATTCAACATTTCGTCTTTGTACTCGAATTCGTCAAACGTCCCATGTTCCTCATTTTCGGTGGCTTCCACAGGAGGGCACTCACCATCTTATGACATTGGTACCTCAGCAACTTGATCCTGGTAGTGTACATATAGCTTACTTTCATCAACGTGCAAACGGGCACGTGTTCGCTTAAACCAGTCCATTCCTAGTAAAAGGATTTCATCCTTTGATTCAATTATCTGGAAGGTGGTGGGAACCATAATTCCTCCTAAGACCAACTTCACATCCATAATTTTCCCTAAAGCCCTAACACGGGCACCATTCGCGGTTACTACAGTGGTGGCGGATGGTTCTGTAATTTTTAACTGCAATTTCCCCATCATTTTATTGGACATAATGCTCACGGCAGCACCAGAATCTAGTACAGCAATTACTGGATTGTTCTTTATTTTCACATAACAGCGAGCAGCTGTAGTTCTCCCATTCCATTGGTCTTGTACGACATTCATAGGCTCAAGGGGGGTGATGGTGGCTCTAGAGGGGGCAACAGTCTTCGTAGGGCTTTTGCGAGCTTCTGTCTTTGATCAGGGTATTGTAACATTTGTCCCAACGTCACACTAGCCCTTGCATTCATAATATCCACTGCCACATCGTACGGGGCTAATTGATCGATTACAGATGGGCCTCTTTTTCTTCGAGGTCTTGTAGGGGGAGCTACTGGGGCTTCTGGTACTGGTAGTGGTGGATTCACAATTGCAGGTTGTGCTACTAATGGGTCCACGTTTACAGGTAGTTCAACTGAGGCTTCTGGCCTGGGCAGGATAGACCTGTATTGCTCTTCTATTTTATCCTCCAACCTTTTGGAGCGGCGACCTACCGGTCTTCTAGTGGGGTATGGTTCGTGGCGGGCCACGGGTGTTACAAAAGCTTCCTCTTCCTCAACTTCAGGTTCATAACCTTCATCCAATTCAATCCCGCAAAAATTAACATTGTCGGGTTTAGGTAAGATACGGGTGGGTTGATTGTTTCAGTTGTTTGGGCTAGATTGGTTGGTTTGGGCTCGCCTATTCTGGCCGTTTTGGGTTGGATTCGGGGTCCTTTCGGACATGCAATAACGAGAGATGTGACCAGGCTCACCACATTTATAGCAAATTAACCTGGTTGGATCGTAACCATTGTGGTTATTATTATTATTATAATTATTATTATTGTTTGGGGGGCGGGATCTAGGAGGTGCAACTTCATATGCAGGGTGAGGGCAGCTGTCAACTTCTCAGACATGGCTTGCATTTGGTGAGTTAGACTATTAAGATCGGTTTCCAGTTTCTTATTATCTTGAGCCTTTTCTCCATTTTTTCCACTGTAGTACTCTCCAGCTTCAATTTTACAAGCACCGATTATAGCGTCTTCCAATGTTGGGGGTTCTGCAACACTAAGCCAGGAGGCTATCTTGGACCTTAAACCTTCTAAAAACATTCGTACTACGTACGTTTGGGGTAACCGATGTTCAGGATCCACTTGTCTTAAAAGTTTTTTGAACTTGTAGGCATAGGAGTCGATTCTTTCATTCTCTTGTTGGGTGAGGGCATTAAGATCAACTTGCCACTTATGTCGTTGTTCTGGGGTGGCGAAATACTGGGTGAAGTGGGGCATGAAGATTGCTTTTGGATCATTGTCATTATCCCAAAATTCCAGGGTGGCTCTTATTCCATCATACCAGTTTGCAGCAACACTTCGCAAATACCCAGAGGCTATTTTAATTTTTCTTCCAGGGGTCCAGTTATTTGCATCAGCGGCACGATCAAACATTTCAACCCACTCCAGAGGGTCCTCTTCCTCAGTTCCATAGAACGGTTCAACCCGTACTAAGTTAGTTTCTCTTTCAGGGGTTCTTGCAGCGAGGGCAACTCCAGCGGTAGCATCTTTGAAGGCTTTTGCTATTTCTCTTAAAACCGTATGGAGGGGGTCTTGATTAGGCTGTTGGGTAGGGTTTTCATTATTATGGCCGTTGTTTCTTTCTATATACAATGGGTACTGATCGACGGGAGTCCTACTACTATCGCTGTAGATTGACTATCTATCATCATCTTGGTTGAGGCAAAGATCGTTTTCAATGTTTTGCTGGTCCATGTTATGGTTTTTTTTTTTTTATACTTGCTTTAGGGTGAAGGTTACGCAAATGCGGCGTTGTGGTCTCCTATTATTTGTTTCCGGCTTGCTTGGGGTTATTTTATGGTTCAATTGTTTGCTGGTTAGAAAAGGTTAAATCGAATCTATTCCAAGATCTATTTATGCTGATTTTCAGAATTAATTTGTAGATCGGGTTTAAGCTTTTTCTAAAATGTCGTAATAATTACACACGTGAACCTTATTTGTAGTTAATAAAAGTTTTTTTTTTTTTTATATATATTTATACTATTATATACTTCTGATTACTATATTATACTATATTTTTTTTTTTTTTTTTTTATAGTATATTGATAATAAAAAGTTTTTTTTTTTATTTATATATCCTTTTCTCTTGAACAGTATTATTTAAATTTTTTTTTTATTCAAAAAACAAAATAATAAGGTCTTGCCGTTTATAAATTGCCACTTCAAGCTTGATTGGATACGTATCAATTCTTTTTCCTTTTTGGGTTATGATCCTGTCTTGACGTTATACTAATTACTTTCTTTTTTCTATCAGTTTCTTAGTAAATCGATCCAGTATGGAACAGCACAAAGTCGGGGTAGTATGATGTACATTCTTTAGCAACTAAGTGGACTCAGTACGTCGGTCCTAGATTTTCAAAAAAAAAACTTGGTTTATGTTTAGTACACAACTCTAGAGGTGAACACAGTCCGTCAGTTCAATACAATAAAAAAAAAAAAATTAAAATTAAATGACACAATGCACACAATAAAACGTAGTTAAATTTTTCGTATCGGAGGGGGGGGGAGAGGGGGGAGGGGTAGTTAACGCTTTCATGGTTTCGTTTCTACTTCAGTAATTAGGAACGTCCAGGGTCGTTGATCTCACAGTCACCACCAAATTGATATGGGGTACAAGGTCTGGAACGGCACTACAGGACAAGAAGGAATGCGACGAATTGTCACTTCGAATTCGTCGACGTCACGTAATGTCGCTCAAGGCAGGTGAGGCGAATTCGATTTGGCACTGGTCTATGGCGGGCTTGAGAACGTTACCAGGGGAGTTAAAGGAGCGTAATAGTATTTTTTATTTAATTACTTTTATTTTATTTTGACAGTTAGCAGTTTATTAATTAGAACTTTATTTATTTTATAGGGCGGGTTACAAGTTAAAGGTGATTCGGGTTACAAGAGGGCAGGACTCTCTTTTACTATAGGGCGGAAAAGCACTTTTTTATAGAACATTTTTGAAGGAAAAAGAGGGAACTTAGGACACGGCTTTGACACCCTTTTTTTCATAGTCATAGACCGTTTTTCCCTTTTTTACTAACACTTTTCCCTTTTTCTTATAATTCATCTGTCATTACTTAGCATCATCCCACAACGGCATACAATCCAACATATGACGATGCATTAACACGGCCACAGACTTTTCCTGTCAAGGTAATATTACCTTGACAGTTGGATTCCAAATCGAGCAGGTGGCTTTTTCTTCAATGGATCGGCACCGTCACTTAATGAGGAGCTTGATTTGTCTTGGGTCGCGGGTATCGTAGTATGACGGTTTTCGTGGTGCAGATCGTGGTCATTACGCAACGTTTCCTTCAGGTCCTAGGGTCGAATCTACCCATAACAGTAGCAAAAAAAGACATTACTTCAGAGGTATCAGCTACACTATGATACAAAAGACAGGACCAAAAGTGTCAAACAAATTCATAAATCTGCTAAATAAGATCCTAAAAAGTGGCATCTTTCAAAAAAGATGAAAAATAGGTCAAATCTTTTCAATACCAAAGATAGAGAAATGAGAACTTTCCTTGGCAAACATCAGACCAATAATACTACTAGAACATTTCAAAGAAATCTAGTATATATAGTACAAAAAAGGCTAGATAAAGTACTTATAGAGCATCAAATTTTGCAAAAATATAATTTTGCAGGATTGCTAAATAAAAGCACAGAAGCTCCAATACATGTGCTAAGCAATATACTAGAAGAAGCCAAAGAAGAAGAAAAAGAGTGTTGGCTACTCTTGCAAAACATCAAAAAAGCCTTTAACTCAGTTGTATTAAAAAGCATTAAAAGAGCACTCAGAAGAATAAAGATTTTAGAAAAAGTTTTAAAGTTTATACTAAATATATAGCAAAAGAAAGATTCAAGTAATTACCAGATTCAGACTAACAGAAAGCTTTGAAGCAGAAGATGAAATTGACCAAAGAGAAGTAATATCTTCTCTTATATAGAGAATAATTTATAATCCACTACTTTGTTGAATACAAAATCTAAGAAAAGGCTACAATATAACTATTCAAAGGTCACTAAAAGGAATAAGATGAAATAAAAATACAGAAGACCTGAATATAAGCTGTCTAGCTTTTGCAGATGACACAACATTTATAGCTAACTTACAACACAATATGCAAAAGATACTAAACAAGAGAAATGAATTCTATTGTATAAATAACATAGATATAATCTCCAAGAAATCAGAGCTAATAATAGTAAACAGAAAAAAAGAAAACACATAGAAGTTTATAAGATTAGGAAGCCAAAGATCAGAAGTCAAAGCTCTAGATAAAGAAAAAGCAGCATGGTTTTTAGAAGTTTGGATCACAGCTTAGAACATATATAAACAATATATATACAAGCTTAAAAAAGAGATATATATCTTTATAAATATTGTTAGAAATAAAAAAATATCAATCAGATAAATGAAATATCTAAACAACAAAATGCTGCTGCCATAATTAAAATACAGAGAAAATATATGCCTACTGGAAAAAAAAATATGATAAGATTCACCAACCAGTTTTTAATTAGCAAAGTAGAAAGCTGAACTAGCATTAACAGCAGCAAACAGCATAGCAAGTTATAAAGAATTGTTAGGCATTAAAAGTTTTTACAAAGATATACTGAATATATGCTTACAAAATAGTTAATTAGAATTAATAATGTGGAAATCTTGAAACAATCAACATTAGTAAGAATCCAAAAAGTGCAACAAGATCTGTACAGCTCAAAACCAATATGGCTTTTAGAAACAGGTATTATGAAGATAAACAATTTTAAATACATCTTAATGCAAGAATATTAAAATTGGCAAAAGAGCTGAATATAGAAATTAGAATAGAATACATGTTTAAGGATTGGTAACTATGCCAAGATATAGATAAAAACTTGAAAATAATTATAGAAAAACTAAAAACTAGGAGAAACTAAGAAGTATTAAATTGTGACATATAAAGTAACTGTTGAACTTGAAAGGTAGAAAACTATTAATATGCCAACAGATCAAAAGACTTACAGGTCAAAAAGCAAGTAAAAAAAAAACAAATTGGTTTAAAGAAATAGAAAGCATCTTAATGGTGAATAGCCAAACAAGACTTGTAAGAGAAAGCTTCCAAACACAAAACCTGAACCATTAAGTTCTAGTATCTTACTTAGATACAATTTTATCTGAGAAAAATAAGCATAAATAAATGTATATTAATGAAATTAAGAAGAACCAACCAATACTAAAAAAAGTAGTATGAAGGGCAGATTTGGGGCTACTGGGTTTCTCATAGTTAAAGCTTAACAAACATAATGCAAAAACACAAGCAACTCAAAAGTAAGATGTAGAAGATTTGGTCAGAGAACTAGGAATCCTACTGCCATTAAGATCCTAGTTTTTAAGATGTGTCTTTATTAATAGTCAACCTTTACTTAACTGTCTTTTTACTAACAGAAATTACAGAACTTTTATATAAGAGAAATACAGTAAAGGCTTTGATACAGCATAACTAAATTGAGTATTGGAGGGAAATCTACAAGCTACAATGAAATATTTACATAACTATAATATAAAGCTGTTATTTAATTGTTTTCAATAAGCTTTACCTTAAGCTAAACCCAATATATCATTTTATTAAATGCTCTTTTACATGTAAGATCTTGTAGCTTAGCTTCAGTTCAGAACCTTGATTCAGGACCTTGGTTCAGAAGGATTCATTTTGGAACCTTGGTTCAGGTCATGATTATGTTTTCTATGTGCTTATAGCAAGATCATGTTTTGCTTCTTACAATTTTCTCAGCCTTATTTTATGTGTACTATGTATAAAATTACTACAGTGAAGTTTAATTAGAGTTTTTCAGGCTTTAAATATCTTTAAAAAGAGACTTTGGTTAGAAACACAGAGTTAAGAAGATAAGACCACCTAGACCTTTTCTTTACTTTACAGTTATATTTTTTTTTTATTTTTTTATTTTTTTTTATTTTTAACCTTTATTATAGCTCATTAATTCACAAGCATTTCATTCTTTTTGCACAGGTTTTATTTCTCACTAGACCAAACTCTATTATTACAATTTACAGACAGGTTTATCTTATTTCTTGCCTTAAGACTTTAGCTTCAATATTGGGTTTCTTTAGTTTATTTCACAGTTACCACCAAAATGTAAGGGTAGATTTGGGGCTACCAGGTCTCTTATAGTTAAAGCTTAACAAATGTAATGCAAAGACATAAGCAACTTAAAAGTAAGACATGGAAGATTTGATCTGAGAACCAAAAATCCTACTGCCACTAAGTTCTGGTTTTTAAGATGTGTCTTTATTAATAGTCAACTTCTACTTAACTGTCTTTTTACCAACAGAAATTACAGGACTTTTATATAAGAGAAATATAGTGAAAACTTTGACACAGCCTAACTAAATTGAGTATCGAGAGGAGAATCTATAAGTTACAATAAAATATTTATATAACTATAACATAAAACTATTATTCAATTGTTTTCAATAAGCTTCATCTTGAGCTAAATTCAATATAGCATTTTATTAAATGCTTTTTCACATGTGAGATCTTGTGGCTTAACTTCAATTCAGAACCTTGGTTTGGAAGAATTCATTTGGAATCTTGGTTTGGATCATGGTTATATTTCCTATATGCCTACAACTAGATTACATTTTGCCTCTTAC